AAAATTTTTAAAAGTTCATTATATAGTAATTTACTATATATTATATACCGAACTTATAATAAATTTGAAAAAAAAAAGTTCGTTATATAGTGTGTTCGTTATAAAAAGGTTCGTTATATCCAGAATCGACTGTAGTAATTTACTATATATTATATACCGAACTTATAATAAATTTGAAAAAAAAGTTCGTTATATAGTGTGTTCGTTATAAAAAGGTTCGTAATATCCAGAGTCGACTGTATATATTTAAGAATACATCATAAGAGGATTCCAGCACTACTTCGAGACTATCAAACTACAAATATAATTATAATCACAGTCCTCTTTGGGATTGTTGAAACAGTATGGATGGGATTTGGCAATAGTTTTAACGATAGGTTTTAGGTATAGTATTAGCGATCTGTAGTTAATTTGTAAGAAGCAATATTTGTAGTACGTCTTTATTGAATTCGAACTTTATAAGAAATAAATTCTAATAATTATTATCTTCCCTATATGCACTATATCTATTCTCCCTCCTATACGTCCTAATACTTCTGATATGCCTTACATATCGTAAGCACAACAATACCATGTGCCATAATTAAGTAAATTTGACGCTAGTTATAATAAGAATCACCGAAATAACACTCTTGTAACCAATTCCCTATCATCGTAAAGGTTTCCTTTATTGATCCAAATTTAATTTTGACTCAATGTATAAGCATAAATTATCAATGTTATATTAATGAAAACTATGAAACAGTTCTTTATACTGCACTTCTTTTCTTGAAATTTTAAATTAATAAACTGATTCCATTTCGCATTATTACCGGATCAGCATAATGAGGATTTACTACATCTAGCTATAGGAACTTCTGTTTCAATGTGAAATTGGAAATGTCCGAAGGTAAGGTGTGAACAACACTTTCGTGACCAATTACTTGTCATCATAGAGGGCCTCCTTTTTTGATCCAATTCTTTAGCTTTGACGAATTCAATTTTCTCTTAGAAAATATTCAAAATCTAAAATTTTCTATGAAATCTTGTCAATATTATTAGATTCTAATATTGGTATACAAAACCAAATTTTTACTAAAATATAATTAATATTGAGCTTTTTTTTTTAGTAATACATACATTTTTCTTTATTATAATCTCTTAAGATTTTAAGTAGGTTGGTTAGCTTAGTTTACATAAATATTGTACAAAATATTTCAAAATTTGATTTCTTACCTTTTCTGTTTTTTAGCAGTGTAAAAATTATTTATGCTGTTCTTTAGTTATTGTATTTGAGTCTTTTCTTTCATTGATTATCCTTTCCCGAATATGCAAATTTTTATTTGTATAAAAGTATAACCACTTTTCTTCCTCAGAACCGCTATACCTTTACCAGTAACAAATTAAAAATGCATCTACTAAAAACACCTGAAATGAGTACCAGTATCAAAAACACAGTACTTTTTCTAAGCTAAGAAGCTCTTCGTAAAAAGGAGGCCACAAAACAGAAAAAGGAAGAAGCTCTTCGTATAAAGGAGGCTGCAAAGCAA